GGAAATTCAAAGTTTGTTTTGCTGTACGTTTATTATAAATAAAGCAGATGGAATCAAATAACTTAATGATCTTGGCTTTGCCCTGAAAGTAGCAGGGAAACATGAGAGCRAGGAAGCATCTCCTGCTGAGCTGAGCCTTTAGCTGTCGACTGGAAGCACAAAAACTAATGAAGTCATGTTTGTGAATGAAACAGTCCGCTTGTTGTGAATGAAATGATAAATTGGTGCCTCAGCCATTAAAGCTGCTTCAGGGGGGACATGAGTCATGCAGCTTGGAGCACAATCAAAGCTTCCTGCTCCTCCATTTTCGACAGCTTTAAATCCTGCGATCAATTTCTGATTTAAAGCCGGGATAAGTCAAGCACAGCATGAATAATGCAGCTGGATTCAGTTTGAGGCAACGACTAAGTCTTTGTTGAGGTTGACTCAGGCGTTTACAGCCGAGATCAAACAGCAGAGCAAGTTGTAAACACTGACCAAGGATTTTAACTTAAGTATGAACCTAAACTATTGGGTTCTGCTCCTGCTGAAGTTATTTCTCAAAATAAAGTGGAATGCAACTACTTCTTTCATATTTATTTTTAGAATCAACCTGATGTAAGATCTTTTGAAATGCAAAAATGACCATATTACTGTGAGGTTGTGCAGGCAGAATGACCCAGGGCGCAGGCAAAATCCAAAAACAAAGTTTAATGGACAAAAGGGCTGTCGTGGCAGCAAAACTCACAATCTCAGGGAACTCGAGGAACATTGAGGACAACCACACYGACTGAAAACAGCAAAATKATCAGACACAGGCTGAGGACAAGACAYGAAATATAAARGGAAACTAATGAGGACAAATAAGAAACAYCTGGAGGAGACACAAGAGGAAACAGGTGAGTGTAGGCGGGGCTGCAGGGCAGAGAAACACAAGGGAACACTGAAACACTAGAAAATTAAAGCAAAAACACACAGATCATGACAATTACTTCTTTGGCACATTACAAAGCACACATAAAAGAAATGTTTTGATTGGAAAATGCTACCACAGTTATCGTTCCGGCAAAAACCTGAAGTGTGGGGAATGTAATTTGACAGAGCGAGGTGGTGATGGCAAGTTGTAATTTCGATGTGTGGYTTCGGAAAACTGTGAACAACCTATGGACAAAATCCCTGAAAAGTGTGTCGCRGATCTGAGCAGATGTCATTGTGAAACAACTGTCCAGGATTATTATAGTTAACTAAAACTAACTAAATAGCTAAAACTGTTATTGAAAAAACATTTTAGTTTACTGAAATAAATAAAAACTGTAATAAATGAAAAACGATAACTAACTAAAACTGTATAATCTTTTTACAAAACTAACTAAAATTAACTGAAATAATAGATAGAATATTCTTAGTTTTAATGTTTGTCAATTATTTTGAGCYGTGTGGACTGATTAAACAATTTTGTTTCTTCAAATTGAGTAGTTTCACCTTAACTGTGGGCAGCTTCGGCACATCATGGTCTGTAACGTCACCTGCTTACAGTCTGCTGCTGTTCAGTGCTCGCCTGCAAAATGACGACAGCAAAAGTAGGGAGAAAGTAGTAATGTCCGATTTGGGATTCCTCATAACATGACTGTGAGAAAATTAAAAGCGTCTTGTAGTGGAAACAGGTAATAGAACAGGTGGAATACTTCTCAAGGGCTGAACTAACTAAGTATCTTGACAAGCTAGCTTCTCTTAGTAGTTCCTGTGAAAAACAAGCCGTAGTCCAGCCAGGTAGCACCAGGATCTAGACAACTAATGTCACCTTCTTAAAACAAATGCCCAAATCCTTTGTTGGCAAAACTGTTGTGCGATTATTTTAGGAAGATGTTGCTGTAACGGACTGCTTTGACTGATGATCAAATAGCTGTTGGTTAGTTAACTCACAGGAACACTTCAGGCTGGAGGTTGCATATATTTATTCAAACTACAAAAAATTAAAATTAAAACTAAAACTAATAAAAACTAAACTAAACTAAAAGTAAGCATTAAAAAAGCCAAAATAACAAATAAAAACTAGCAAATCCACACTAAAAACTAATTAAAACTAACTGAATTGAACTAAAAAAAACGCCACAACTAAATAAAACTAAACTATAAGGAAAAATCCAAAACTATTACAACCTTGCAACTGTTGAGGGGGTGGGGCACTGYGTCAAACAAGATCATCACTGAAACAAGGACACTGAAGTCACTGAGAGCTATTGCATTGTATTTTTAAAAGATGGCCACGCTCAGATTTTTGATTTTTTAGTGGCACTGCTGATGATAGTGTTTGTGCTGACACTGTTGTCATACATGCWTCCARCGAGGCCTACCAGTTGAGTTTTTTTCATTCTGATTTGTTGCACTGGACAGCTTCTCATCTGTCCAGTAGCTCTTTTGCTGCGGAAGGTTGCTTTCTCTTTTTACTGTTTCGCATATCCAGGATGTGGCGTAGGAACGTAGTCCACAGAGTTCGGATCATTAGTTGCCATGGCAGAAAYAAAATGCTGATTACACACTTTACTGTTTTTCATTGGAGTGAAGTCGTGATGGTGAAGCGCATTGAGCCACAGCTTTCTTTTTGTAGAAGCTTTGCTCGACTTTCCTAGAGGAATTTGGTAAAAGGAGCAAGCTTCTCTTTAACTTTTACTTGGTCACATTGACTCAAACAATTATATACACTAAACCCTTTTCCCAATTAYTATTATTAGAAGGAATGTAAACACTCGACTCGTACAGCAAATGATTCCCTTTACGTCTGGTGAATGCATAAAAACCTTGTGTGCGAATGCGTTACGACCGAAATGTGCAAAAGGTCTAATGAGCCAGGTGTAATTGAATCATTTGTTGTCGCTGCTGAAACWGATCCAAACATGTATTCAGAGAATAAACAGATAGCACAAAACTTTTGTTTAAAATGTCACCAATTACTCTTTTGAGTCCAATCTGTCTGTTAGCAAAACATCTTATGAACCATAATGAATAAAATGTTTGGGAATTATTAAGTCAACACTTTTTAACACGGTCCCCATCTAACTGACCCTACAACCACAATACACATATAACACTTTTAATTTTGGTGATATTTTGCTAAACTCTGGGGTTGTTGTTGGCAAGAGTCTTGAAAAATGTGCATTCTGTCAACAAATTGTAAGCCTTTAATTGAACAATTTTATCATGGTATTTTAACTGCAGACACACACACACAACAAGTAAAATCATCAGACTTTGTGTTTATAAGAATCTGTTGTGTGAAGACGTAAGCTTGGTTTGTTCCTGAGCAGATGAAGCTTTTTCCTCTCAGCAACAGTCTGAYTGAAGCTGATCCGTTGGTGTCATTGTGTCTCACTCACTTATCTGAAGCAGTCAAATCAACTCATTTCACACTTGWGGTTTCCCATACTATCAGATCTAACTTTATAACCTGTGTGGTTTGAAAAAAGAAAGGATCTCATATTRCTGAGATCTAAGGCTGATTTAGTCACAAAGAAAAATAACAGAAAAGTTGAACTTTTTAATGGTTTGAAAGTAAATAAGAGTGTTGAGTGTCTGAGGTTTTACTGTAACTCCATTACTGTTTCTGTCTGTTCTGTTAGCAAAATATATTGTAGCAAAATATATTGTGCAGCACTAACTCTCAGAAWTTGAGAAAATCATCTACAATAGATAAACTTTTGAAACCAACCTACTTCAAAATGGCCACCACAGCTAAATGACCTCAGTCACAAAAATGGCTAAACCTCTGTTAGTTCAGAGACTGAGCTAGTAGCTGAACGTCACTCCCAACAYACASTCYGAGCACAAACTGATCGCTCAAGATCTGTTTTGAAAACTTTGCCATCAAATAATGGAGTGAGTTCTGTCTGTTAGCAAAATATCTCATGAACCAGTAAACGTGTTTTGCTGAAACTCTCAGAAAAGTCACTTGATGTACAAAAATTCAGTTTGACAGCCTTATCTAACCAACCTCAGGTTGACATCTCAGACAGCTTACTAGATCCCGGGCTGAAGTTTGGTGTGGTGGTGGACAGAGGTAATTCTATGCTCTAAGTCCTGCACATTGTGCAACATCGTGGGCAAAAACGGTTGGCATTAAATGTTAAAGTTGGTTGGTCGCCACAGCTACTTCACTTGTTTTTATATAAAAATGGCTTTAAATTTGTTCTATTTGAAAATTTGAACTGAATTTGTTGTGATAGCAGAGAGGATAACCCTGAGCTCTAACACATCCAACCAAAACAACACAAACACTTATCAGTTCTCAAAATAAAATTTTTCTCAGTTTAATGTAGATTCGGATGTCTTCACCCTCTTTCTGCAGCTCTCTGAGAGTGAAACCCCACCACCTRCTGCTGGTTGCTGAGGCAAAAAAAAAGTATCGGTGACCTTCTTACCTGGATCAACTCTCAGTGCTCCGTCCTCTCCACTTACCTCATCTCTACTGACCTCCTGGAGCCTATCCTCCTCTCCGAGCCAGCCTCCCCAGCCATCCCTGTAAACAAAAATTAATTCTGAGCATTATTATCCTCAGCCTTGTTCACCGAGTTGTCCCTGTCTCCCTACAGATCTCTCCTGAATCTGTAAATAAAATCACTTACCTGTGTGGTCTCACTCATTGTTAGCAGAACCTGTCCTAAAACTAAGAAGGCTGCAAAGATTCCAGCCCTTCAAGTTGAACTGTTTTTGATGAATGTTTAAAATATAATATAATCTAAAAGACAATCTAATGCAGAGTAAGAAAACAATTTATTATCAGCTAATTAGCCTCCAAATCATCAGTTTTAATTATCCAGTCATGGTCGATGTAACGAGTAATCCATTACTCTGCTTTGTTGACTGYTTGTGGCTTAATTTGCCCAGCAACTTTTAGGAGATGACTCACCCAAGAAAGCTGTTACGCATGACACAGACACGGAGGGAGGGGAGGCAAAATCAAAGGATAAGGTGGAGCGAGCACACGGGGCTTCTCCCATAAAAAGCTGTCCGTCCGGCGCGGAGGAACAGACTAGTTTTGACCGCGGGAAGCTGGGCCACATGCTGCGGAGCACCGGGACCACCATGCGCAGCTCCAGGCTGATGTGCGCGCTGCTGCTGCTGCTCTCCGCCTGCGCTGCCGGAGCGCAGCTGCTGGACGCGGAGTCCGAGGAGGAGCTGAGCCCCAGAGCCCTGCGGGACTTCTACCCGAAAGGACCCAACCTGACCAACGAGAAGCAGCTGGTGAGTCCGCGCGGACCCAAACTGACAAGAGGAAATAATTTTCAGAAGTCCACAACAACTACAATAATAATAATAATAATAACAACAACAACAACTTAGAAAGCACACAAAGTTCTGTGACGTTTTTTTTTCTCGTGCGTAAAAAGTGTCTTTGCGCAAAAACGCATTGGAAAAACAATCAGTCTTTTTTCAATTTTCCCATTCCTGATGCTTTAGGTTGATATTTGCAGATTGCAATCATTTTGTATCATGTAAAAGTTTGCAGTAGATGATCTTTTATACRTTTTATCTGTTTATTTCCTGCAGCTTGGAGCTCTCCAAGAAGTTCTTGAAAAGCTGCAGGCTAAACGACTGCCGGCGTGGGAAAAGAAATTTGGCCAAGTCCCAACGGTTTGTAGTCTACATGCACAATAAAATTATTATTGTTTTATTATTACCAACATGTTTTTGTTTGTTTGTTTTTAGTTGTAATGTGTTTTTGTCTCCCCCCCACCCTCAGTGTGATGTTGGGGAGCAGTGCGCGGTGAGGAAAGGCGCTCGAATCGGGAAGATGTGCGACTGTCCCCGGGGAGCTTTCTGCAACTTCTTCCTGCTGAAGTGCTTATGAGCCTCTCGGGATTTGAATGTAGCATTGACAGAAGACTTGATTACTTTGTAATTAAAATTTTTTAAAGGTCCCAGCTGAAGAGCAGCTGGAGTGAACACTTTAAATAAAGGAATGACAGAAGTTTTATTTAAAAAAAAACTCATTGTATCACCCGATGTGTCAGGATGTCATGATGATGGATCAACCAGGAGAACATTAAAGTTTCTGTAAATATCCAGATCCACTTAATGTCTGTCGGGGAGAATCATTGTTACAACCCAAACTCCACAATAAAACCCACCTAAGGACCAAAACCACACTGTAAAAAAACAGACCAGCAATATTCTTCATGCTGTTTTTAACTTTGACTGTTTTGTGATTTCTGTTAATAAACTGTGAATCATCTGGTTTTGTAAAGCACTGGAGTAACTGCAGATTCTTTGGAAACATAACCTTCATGTTTGTTTTTAATAATCAGAGGGATGTGAGGGAGTTGGTGTGACGTCACACCTCCTCGGGGTGGTCAGGCAGCTTCAAATCATAAGAGTTTCAAATTAAACATTTCTGCAGCAGAGAGAGAGAGAGAGAGAGAGAGAGAGAGAGAGAGAGAGAGAGAGAGAGA